ACCTTTTATTTACTCCAAATAATAAAGAAATTATTGTCTCCACCAATTATAATAATAACTTCAAAATAGATTCCATTACTGGGAATTTTATATGTCTATATAAATATCCCGACATTACAAAAGAACAATCTACTACATCTTATCATTCAACAACTACCCATTTGTACACACACACACACAAAAAAAAAAAAAAAAAAAATATGTCCAGTTTGTACGATCAATGGCTAGCAAATGATGACACCAGCGATTTTAAATACTCTGTAGAAAATTCGTGCAGCAGCGTTTTCCTCCCAACTATAACACCCGATGGCCAATATGTCATGACTGGTAAGAAGGAAGGGTTTCCTTTGCATGTTTCTCCTTCGTTTGCATTTATGCTTGGATGCGTGGAAATACGTACCCATACAGATATCCATCTATATGTACATGTATATGCACATGCATATGTACATGCATATGTACATGCATATGTACATGAATAAACACATGCACGCTTGATTATCTCTGCACCCTTGTCCGTGGCGTTACGTCCAGCATGCAGGTGCCACGCGTACACCATAAATATGAGACGGTCCTGAATGACAATTTAAATTGAAATAAATAAATGTTAATCTGTAGCGTATATATAGTGACACAACATGTGTTTTATTATTATTATTTTTTATTTATTTTTTTTTTTATTACTTTATTATTTTATGTTACTATTTCGTTATTTTACTTTTTTTGCACGTTGAGCACTACTTTTTTTCCCCCCCCTTTCCCCATGTTCTTGCTCCAACACATGTACTTGGTTAGGTGTCATGATCACGTCCATTTTCTACGCATTTAAATGTGTGTAGCATAATTTCCCGTTTCCATATTTCCCATTTACCCTTCTAAATATATTACACAATATATTTTCTTCTTGCATATTCAGGTTGCATTGACAATGGAATTCACATTTGGCGTGAAAATGGAAAATTCCTGACAACACTATATGGCCATGAAGGTTCACAAAAAGACTGTATTTTTTTTTTTTTTTTTTTTTTTTTTTTTTTTCCTTCGTTTCTTCCTTTTTCGTGTGTTCAAATTCACTGCAGAGGGGCTAGACAAAAATACAAACAAATGACCGATAAGTATATCTTTAGTGGGGCAAAAATAAGAGTGACAATAGTGACAATAGTGACAATAGCGACAATAGTGACGCTGAACCGAATAATTCAAACGCCCCTTTTCCTTTGCCTTAGAGATTATAGATACAGAACATTTCATACCTCTTTCAATTTCAGGCCCCCCCTATAATGTGTGCTTCAACCCCAAATGCTCAATCTTGGCATCAAGTACGAATTTATTCATGCATCGACCAATATGTGCTTTTACATATATATATACGCATATATACACATATATATATACACATATATACATACGTCTTTGCAAGTGTGCACAAGTACGCATTTTTTAAGAACCTTTAGAGATTAATTTCAGAGGATATAGATTCTTTCTTTTTTCTGCGCAAGATCACAATGATAATTTTAATTTTTTTTTTTTTTTTTTTTTTTTTTTTTTTTTTATGTAGGTTGTTTAAATATAGCATTGTGGCAGCCATCAGTATAATTCTTATATTTCTGTCGAGGTTCGTGTTCGATAAAGATTCTTATACCTCTCTCTTCACTAATAATTAAGAGGGGAAAATTACGATGAGATAATGTATAAAACACTTCATTTCTAAATTTTTGCCATAGGAGTTACTACCTTTTTTTTTACGCATAAATAAATCGTCAGAACTTGCTAAGCAAGGGTTTTTGCACACATGTGTATATCTCACTTAAATGTCTTTTTAATGAGACTTTGGTAATCAGTTTTTACTGATTTACAACATGCTTATTGTATTGTATTGTGCTGTATTTTTTTTTTTCCCCCACTGAGCACACAACTATGATATGCCACTGTTTTAAGGATGACTGGCACATCCATTTGATATTAAAAATAATTTTACGTTTAAAAGTTACTTACAAGAACTTTCAAAAAAAGAAAAAAAATTTAAATAAATATCAAATTTGAATGAAACAAAAAAAAAAAAAAAAAAAGAAAAAGAAAAAAAGAAATGATTTTTATATACCTTATTATGCTTCTGCTTTGTGGTGCTTCTATTTTATTATTTTGTCCAAAGTTGTGTGTATAACGTACGTTACTTTGTTCACTTTTTTTTTTTTTTTTTTTTTTTCTTCTCTCTTCTTTTTTTTCACCATTAAGTGATCATTTTCAGATGACTATTTAAATATTTGCTATGTATTTGTTGAATGGTTATTTATTCAATCATAAGAGTTCATGAACCATTCACTTCATTATGCTGTTAGCACATTTTGTTATTTTCTGGAACGCAGCTTGCAATGTTATCGTTTCTGCTTCTGCTTCTGCTTCCGACTTTCCTTCTGGTGGTGCTGTTTTTTTTTTTTTTTTCCCCTCTTTGTTCCCTCGAGCGTGCTGAGCATCATTTTGTTTGGAACTCTGCTTCGTCATTTTTCGCTACCCTGAAAAAATGGTTACTCCTTTCAGCGTTTCATTTTCTTCATCTCTGCACATTTATGGGAATCGACATCTTCACGAGACACCCCCCCCACTTGAGTAATCGTTTATTAACCAGTGTATGAATGCCTCTGCTTTTTTATGGCATAATGGATCTTTTTTTACCTTATGGAGCATATCAGTAATTTCCTGACTAGCCAAGTGGGTATCAAAGTTAAACATGCAGTTATTTACCTGTTGGTAAATGGAATAATTGGATTGTTCAATACACTCATGTACCTTGTGTAGAAACAACTCTTTATCACTGTTGAGCAGGAAGTGTGCTTGATCATTTTCAATTATATCTTTCGTGTACTCATCTTGTAAATAGAAAATATTTTTTATGTATAAAAAAATTAAAGACATATAATGACAACTTGGTGTCCACTGGTTTAAAATGTTTCCTAAATTTAATTTCCCAGTTTTTGGATTTATTAAAGGATGAAAGACGGGGGATAGGAAAAATACTTCTGGAATTGAATGTGGGTGATTTTCCCCTAATTTTATTTGGACCTTAAATTTTCCATTTTTATAAACAGTACTGTATAAAATGATAAACACATCCCAAATTAATAAATTATCATGTTGTGGGAGGCAATAAAATCCCCTTGGAATTTCATTCACTAGAAATGAATATTCAGTAAGAATAGAATACTTATGTACATTTTTATGTATTTCACTTAGATATCCATCTATAATATCTTGTTCTAATGTGGATTGGGATAATAACTCTGGATTTAATGGTATAATTGTTCTTCCTAATCTCTGTTCAACAAGTATATATTCCTTTTCGTTGAAAATGACACTATCCACCCCTTCCATAATTTCTATATCGTCCTGGATCGTCTCGTTAATCTGATAACACCCAGAGTTTCCATTCTCCATATCTTCTATTGTATCCAAATTGTCAGTGTTACCTGAACTGTTCATTTTTTTTTCTATTGTATCCATGTTCTCTTCAATTCCCCCATTGTCATTATCACCCTTTGGTTTTACCCTTTCATAATTTCCTTTCCCTTCCTTGTAACTGAGATTTAATTCTTCTTCATCTTCCTTTTTCTTCAACATATGACAATCTTCATCTTCTGCGTACTTTGGAAAATACGCAAGTGTTTTTCCAATCAGTAACTTACTAACTCCCTCTTCTTCTGGAACCCTTTCATTATCATACCACATGGTCTTTTAATTGTATTATTCCTGTCGAAAATCCCTGAATGTAAGTTCATCAAAAAGGAAATACTCCTACTTGTGGTTGTGCGAAAAGGTATCTGCACATATAACATATGTGTAATATACGTACATGCATAATGTAATATTTGTGTATTTATATTACACTATGCATGTGTTTTTCTTTTAATTTATTTTTTCCAAATTTTCAAAAAAATTGTTTTAACACTTGTGCATCATGCAGGTGGGAAACGAAAAAAAAAAAATAAAAATAAAAAACTAAAAAAAAAAAATAAAAATAAAAAACTAAAAAAAAAAAATAAAAATAAAAAACTAAAAAAAAAAAAAAAAAAAAATCATCACCCACTTGTAGACCATTCCCTGTGTGCCATTTTTTTATGCATATTTTTGCATCTTTTTTAATGTGTAAATGCAGAATTTTTCAAAAGTAGTAATAAAATGGTTCTCCTTAGGTGGACAATGCTTCACTAAAATTATGCACATTTAGGGAAATGGATCATTATTCGCAAAAATAGTCTCTCTTATTATTAATGTGGGGGTAATAACAAATTTGTTTATTTGAAATAGCTACACAAATGATATGGACACGCATATTCGCAAGGGGAAAAAAAAAAAAATAAAAATAATAACATGGAAATACTGTTCATGCGAATGTTTTTTTTTTTTTTTTTTTTTTTTTTTTTTTGTTTCTTCCTTTGTTCATCATATATTAATGATAACTCCCGATTAGATTAACAAGAACATAAAGAAAATTCACGAATTATATATATCATCTCCAAGAGATTACAAGATAAAAATATATATAATTCCCACAGAACATAATGAAACTACTAATTTAAAAAAAAAAAAGAAAAAGAAAAAAAAACTCATCGGTTTTCATAATATTCCTTTCTTTAATTAGTTACTCCCAAATTCTCATTAAAAACATGAAATAATAAACGAACAATTTTGCTACTAGTATTTTCTTCACGAAATATTGTAAAGTGGTATTTAAACACATACATAAGGAGATAAGTTAATATCATTATATGATACGGAAAAATTGGAAAAAAATGACGAAAAAGCAAAATCCATACGCACTCCTGGATAAGATTTTCCCCCTTTGTCGTCACTTTTCTTCCTCTGCCACTATAAAAGTCCAGCTTCATATATGAAGGGAAACAAAATATACCCTCTTGCACCAGTTTGATACCACACACATGAGGTAAAAGGGTCACATTGGTTACTTCTCCCTTTCGCATATTGACTCTCTTTCTGTACATATATGTATACTTTTCAAAAAAACTACACTTCCAAATAAAAATACAAAAATGGTGTACTATACACAACATCATCCTGCACACTCTATATACTTACAAATACTTATTGTAATAATATAAGACATACGTAGAAAAAACCTCTTTCGTTTTTTTATTCTTTTTATACCTTTTTGAAATACTACGATTAAAAAAAAAAAAAAACAAAAAAAGATGCTCACACACATACTTTTACCACCTATATAACCCGTCCTCACTATTTCCTTCGTTAATACCAGATATGTACTATATATGTTCGAAAAAAATAAAAAAAAATTGTGCTTTACTAACACATCTTTATTTATTTATTTATTTATTTATTTATTTATTTGTTTATTTTATTTTCTCTTTAAATCTACATGGTGTACACTTCTTTACATTTACCTTATTCAATTTTGTTAGTTTTTTTTCAGTTCATCTTCTTGTTACACAACATTTTGCATAATTTATAAATTTATACAAAATGGTGCTAAAAAAAAAAAAAAAAAAAGAACTCCCCTCAAAGTATTGTACAAAAGATATAAATAAATATATATTGCATATACTCATTCATTTTTTATGTTATACATTAAAAATATTTGTCTCAGCGCATATATGCATATATATTTTCGTATTAAATTACTAGAATAATATTATTTTTTCATTTGTTCATAAAAAGGCATATCTATTTAAACTCATTTTTTTCTTTTTTTTTTTTTTTTGGCTTTGCATGCTTGTGTTTCTTTTCTTTCAATCTCCTAATGCATTCATTTGTTTAAGTCTTTTTCAAAAAAAAAAAATAGTATATATATATATATATATATATATATATATATATATATATACTATTTTATCTTTTTTATATGTATAATTTACACTGCACGAGAAAATAATTTAATATAACATCCATAGGGTGTAAAAATAAAAAATATAAAAAAAGGGGAAATGGAAAAAAAATAATTCGTTACACCTATATATAGTTTATCTATATGCGCATAATATTATAAATTCATATTCCTACATATATCCATGCACACAAACTATATTTTCATATGCGTAAAATTTTCCGTTTCTGCATGTATAATACATCGTTCTATTCTGTATTCCAGAATTTTAAAATATTTCTTCATCCGTATATGCAAAAATATCTACATATATATGTACATAAATATATTATATTTCATTTTCTTCAAAAAAATAGCAATAAAATATTTTTGTCCAATTCATGCACAATCTTGCTTCGTGGTATGTATTGTAACCTTTTTCATAAACTTGTTATGTGACATACCAAATCCCCTATAACTCTCACTTTATCTTTAAATTTGATTCTATTTCAATTTTAAATGTTTCATAGTTGATTATTCTCTTCATTAATTTTAGGAATTAAATGAATTATGGTGTTTTGTTACAATTCAATACGTTTCGTTTTTTATATATATATCTCAGCTACATGCAAAATGCAATATGTACATTTTTTTTTTTTTTTTTTTTTTTTTTGTTATTTATCTGGTTCATTCATTCGTCATCTCCATTTATTCCTAATAACACTGTCACTTTTGGTAGTACTGTGCTATACGTAATTATGTTCCTCGCCTATTATCATATATATCGCTATTCTACTATTTTTTGGTTTTTTTTTTCTGTTTTTTTATTATGTACATTATATACATATATATATATATATATATTATGCGTACTATAACTTTATAAAAATAAGTATAGAAAAAAAAAACAATGTGTCGTAAAACTTAAGCGCCATGTATACGTATATGGTCCCCTGCGCATATACCTTCTCGTATTAAAAAGTCTTTAACGTTATTTCTTTTGTCACCTTGAAGTTGAATAATTGAACCATGCTCATTATCTTCTATGATTGTTCCATTACAGTTAAATTCCTAAAAAAAAAGTGTTTATATATGATTATGGGAAATATGCTTTTGTTTGGTACATTTCTTATATATACAACAAAAATGTAATTTATTTTCCCAAAAAATGCGTCTTCTTTTCGTTTGTAACATTTTTCATTTCTGATGCACTCGTTTCTAGGACTTTTAAACAATACATTTATTGCGTGTACGCTATTTGTTCATTTTTTTTATATTCTTTTTTTTATTCTTATATTTTACCTTTTTTAAGGCTCGGACCATTTTTTTCAAATCATATGTTTTTCCTAATCCTTGCACTGTAGTAACACTTTTTCTACCATTTCTTTGTTGATTTCTTATATCTGTTGAAATTAATGTAAAAGTCAATCATAAAAAATTAATTATGGTATTTGTTCTATTGAGATGTAACATAAATATGCATATGTAAAAAACACGTGTATATATAGAGAGAGCAACAGTGAAAGCGCAATAAAATCATCGGTGTTTGTCAATATGCATACATACGATGTTGCGCTACTTTATAAACTCATTATAATGTAAACGAAAATAAGATTTTAATTAAGATAAAAATATTCTCATGCAAGTGTACAGCGTTAAAAAACTAAAATCATAAAAAAAATTGTACCACGAGACACCATTATTTTGTGCAAGCAAAAATATAATAGCCTCACAACTCTTGCATAATTTTTTCATGCACGCGTGATAAAAAAAAAAAAAAAAAAAAAAAAAAAAAAAAAAAAAAAGCATATGACGGGGTGGGTGGTGGGTATATATTAACAAATGTTCATAATTTTTATGCATAATTTTTTTTCTCAAGAAAAAGAAAAAAACTTGTGGTTCCTTGTTCCATTACTCCTCCTTTTTAACTTTATTAGAGTTAAAAACAGTGCAGAAACATGGATAATGAATAAAAAATGTCATAATATATACGGTGACCATATATGGACACATATGCTACAAGTATATATATATGCATTACTTATATATATAAAAAATATATATAATTGCGATCATCATAAAAAAACTTAAAAACTTACGTATTAAATTCGTCGCGTTGGATTTACCATTCCCCTTATCGACAATATTTTCATTTGTGAAGGGGTCATTAATACCAAGATTCTGAATAGCGAGGTTCATCAAGCTTTATATAACGAGTATAATTGAATATTGGGGGGGGGGGGGGAAGGAAGTTTAAAATTATAAAATTTTAACAATGTAAAAAAAACATAAATCACGTGTGGACTGTGTTTTCTTACAGATATTATTTATCTATGTATAAAATATATATGCCTGTAAAATTTCTTTATTGATTTAAAAAAATGAGCGTAGGATAGAAAAAAAAAAAAAAACTTATGGCATGTGGGATGGGGTATAAATTTACTTTATTTGTTCATATAATATAATTGTACCCAAATGGATTTATATATCATGTATAATGGAATATTCTTATTTCTTTCTTTTTTTTTTTTTTTTTTTGTTAACGTAAAAGGTATAGGTACCATATATAAAGGCTTCTTTTTGTTAACGCAATTATATGTATATATAATTATTGCAAAATAGAGTATATGGGGCTAGTAAAATTTTTACAAATGAAAATGTTTCGAATTTAAAAAAACAGAAAAAGAAAAAAAAAAATTTTTTTTTCAAATAAATATTCGTACATGTGAAATTATCTATAAATTTTTTTGTTAAATGTTTTTTTAATGATAAATAAATGCATTTTACTTTAAACGAAATTTGAAGGAAGGGTCGAACGAAATTTTGAACGAAAATTTGAACGAAAATTTGAACGAAAATTTGAACGAAAATTTAAATGAAAATTTAAGCGAAATGTTGAACAAAATTTTGAACGAAATTTTAAAATGAACTTTTAATGAAAACTTTTATCTGAGATTTGTATAACTTGTCATTTTATGATTTTTTAATACGTGCATTTTTTTTTTTTTTTTTTTTTTTTCTTAACCGTTAATGTGAATAATTAAAGCTGAATTCGCATGCTCGATGGTCGACAAAAAAAAAAAAAAATTGCAATTTTGCGGTTAAAGTTGGGCTAATTTGGCAATATGATGACCATTTATAGCAATATATAATATATATACAATATAAATATATACAAAATTATATATATTTACTTATATATATACGTCACTTATGCATTATATTTATATGTAATTTTTATGCAATTATTTATGCAATTATTTATGCAGTTATTTATGCAATTATTTATGCAATTACTTATGCAATTACTTATGTATATATTTATAATTAACTTTATTTATATATATATGCCTACGTATATTATTTACCTTTATATTTTTTTTTCTGCGATGCACGGGCAATGGTCGGCGAAAGTGCTTGTCAGATAATTGTATTGTTGATAAGTACAAAAATGTTCAGCAGTAAAATGTGGAAAAAGCGGGTCACATGGAGAGGAGGGGCACAGTTTGATTTATAAAATCGATTTTTTTCATTTCATGTGCTTATGAGACTGACTCATTGTGGTCGCTCTTTAGTGCAAAAATTTGCATATCTAATTTTAAGCACACACACAAAGTATATATAAAGGTGCATATTCGCTCCGACGTGTATTATGTTTTATCTGCACATATATATACATATGCGATTTCTTTTCATGCACACACATGATACATATATATATATAAATATTTGTACTTTTACATAAACATTTACACGCACTGCGTTGTGCAGTTAAGGCTTGATGTACGTACAGGCCGCGCGTACAGATGAGCACCTGCATTTCACACGCACTTTGCACACAAAATGATAGGGAAAAAAAAAACAAAAATTTAAGCTTTTTTTTATTTTTACTTTTATATTTGCAAAGGTATTTTTTAAAAAATTTAGAAACCTTTCGCAAAAAAAGAGTACACGATGTAAACACAACGAGTGAAATATGGTTTAATATATTTTTTCATTTTTGTAAAAATGTACATTCAGCTATTTCATAAAAAAAAAAAAAAAAAAAAAAAAAAAAGAGGCTTTTTACCCCATTCAGTCAGTCATTTATTATCCCAAATTAAGGCAATATTTTAAGAATTTAAGAAAAAATATTTACAAGTCATGTAAAAATTGAACGTGGCAAATATGTACATATGTGTGTATCTATATATTGCCAGTTTTACAGCTCTTCAAAAAAAAAAAAAAAAAAAAAAAAAAAAAAGTAAAAATATGTGACCATTTTGTATAATTTATAAATATTTATGTAATCGAATACCTTGTAACATGTATTAGGCTAAAAAATCGAGTGAACTTTAAAACATGGATTGAAAAGCTACACGAATAAACCATTTAAGAAATTTCAACAAGTGCGTGACGCATAGGATTTTTTTTTTTTTTTTTTTTCTTTTTGATAAAAGACTACGTGATGATTTTTCACACATGTTATATTTAACAACCCTCACCCATAAAAGTTATTCTGATTCCTTTGCACGTTCGTACCCTTTGCTTATATGCCGGTTCAGAACAAAACACAGAAAAATAAATACGTCCAACTGTCGGATAATGGAAAAATAAAAATTCCCTCCCACCCCCAATACACATATGCCTCGTTCGCTCAATTTATTGGATACTAACCCCATTTTAGTAGGAAACAAAATCTGATGTCTTATTTTATATATTTACATATATTTTTTTTTTTTTTTAAATGTAAAAGTACCTCAACACACGTTGTTCTAAGGTGCTATTCGATGTTTAAAAGAACCAAAAAGGAGGATGGTATCCAAATATGTATATTCACCTTATGCATTATGAAAGGTTTACTTTGTTGTAATATAATAACCCCGGTGTTTTTGTTCCCTCACATCAAGGGAAAAAAAAAAAAAAGAGAGAGAAGGCCCATGTAAGTTTTCAATAGGGGGCACAAGCTCCATAATACGTGTTACTCCAAGTTTTTTCGAAATTGTTGATTTTCATAAAAACGAAGACAAATTTGAAAAAAAAAGAAAAAATATATATATTATAATGATAATAAAATTAAAGAAATCTTTGTTTTTTTTTAATTTTATATTTCCCACACGTATCTATTAAAAATAATGTGTATGCTTCCTTTTCAGTTTTTAATTGGGAAAAGAAAAGAAAATATGTAAATGTTCTTATCGTCTTTTATGCATTAGCACAATTGAAGAAAAACATGTAAGAATATTTTTTTTTTTTCACCCTGTCTTTATCTTGAAATTTTATAACCGATAGGAACAGTGTAGGTTAAAGAACTAATCATGCATTCTTTCAGCAATTATCACGTCTTAAAGTTTTTTTTTTTTTTTTCCTTTTCTTTCTTAGTAATGTTGTTGGTTAAATAAAAAGGTCTTTTACTTGTTTCCTTTTTCGTTGCTCTTTTTTAACAACCTTAAGATATTACAAATGTGTGCAGCATGTATAAACTGTCCATACGAAGTTTATTACATGTCTATTTGAAACCTAGGGAAGGCGAGTGAACCTGCATGTGCACTGATTCACATCCATGGAATTCATACAAAAATATACATATCACAATAGGGAAAAGGAAAAAATGTCATTCTGATAAATTCATATATAAGCTAAAATCACAGTTGCAAAACAACACTACATGGAAAAAAGAAAAAAGAAAAGTTGAAGGTCAATATGTACACAATAAACATAATTCATTAAAAAAAAAAAGTGCAAAACGTTCTTGTGACAAATGACACAGCTTGGTTCAAAAATGGGGAAATGAAGGGGAAAAAAAAAAAAAAAAAAAAAAAAAAAAAATTGGTAAAATCTATGCTTTCCATTTAAATTTTTTTTTTATGTTAAACATCATACTTTAGGGAAAATATCGACAAAATAAAATTCTGCAATTTTTTTTTTTTTTTTGAATATATCAAATTGATATGCATGCACATCTTCTTATTGTTGTATTTTTTTTAAATCATAAAATGAGCAAAGTACAAATTTTATTCACAAAAGAATTATACGACGAGGCATAGCTTTGTTATGCTTAAATATGAAACAAGTTATGAGTTCTTTTTTAATAGGCGTTTTTTAACTCAAGCATTATTGATAATAAAGTGTATATATATGCATATATATTTATATATGTATATATATAATTTTTTTTTTTTTTCTTTCTTTTTCTTTCCTTGTGCCTTTCTCTTTCTTTTCTTGCCTCATCCACCTGCCATCGGCTTTACAACTTACATCCAGAATTTTTATAGCGCGTAAAAGTATTCACAAACAGTTTTAAAATGAGATTTTGGTTTTGTAAAAAGAAAAACAGCTCCGAATACATCGATAATAAAAAAAAGAACAATGTAAGTCTTGCTTAGTTCGCCGTGTTTATTTTTCCTTCCCGATCTCTGTATTCTGTTTTTTCCATTGGTTATAATAATCAAAGTTGCATTCATTCCTCAATAAAATCATGTATTTTTATCTCATCCATTATTTTTTATTAAGGACGAAATATACAAAGCTATTTTGAAAAACAGAGAAGCAATAGATGCTCTCGAAAAAAAGCAGGTGCAAGTGGAGAAGAAAATTAAGGTAAAAATAAAAAGGATACAAAAAAAAAAAAAAAAAAAAAAAAAAAAAAAAAAAAAAACTATTTATGTCAGCTCAGAATCCTAAACCATCATATATTTTAACACACAATTATAAATCTAAAAAGTCAGGTATTCATAACAACATAATGATCCCTTTTTTTTTAGCAACTGGAAATTGAAGCAAAGCAAAAAGTAGAACAAAACCAAATGAACAATGCAAAAATTTTGCTAAAGAGAAAAAAATTATATGAACAGGAAATAGAAAACATTTTAAATAATCGATTAACCCTGGAAGACAACATGATAAACTTAGAGAATATGCATTTACATAAAATTGCAGTTAATGCATTGTCTTATGCAGCTAATACTCATAAAAAACTGAACAACGAAATGTATGTATTCGAATGCATAATCAAATACAACTGTTTCTTTTTGAGCTCTTGCTTGTTATAGCATGCTTATTTTGAGTCTTATTCCAAACGGGCATCTGTATCCACAAGAAGAGATATATGAGTGTAGACATACTGTCATGTCGAATATCTAAGTCAGGACAAACTAAACCATTATATTGAAAATAAAGAAAAACACTACATTTTCTTAGAGATAAACATATATGAGGAAAAAAAAAAAAAAAAATAATAATAAATAAATAAATAAATGAATAAATAAATAAATAAAAAAAAAAAAAAAACAATAATCATGTAACAAACAAAGAAATTGTTTTTTTTTCTTAAAATTTCAAAAACGTTCCATCATGTGAGGTCTTATATTCATACTATGAATAGTGGTCGATATTAGCTTTATAGAAAATGTAAATAACATTTCCTGCTATATTTTTCTTTTCTTCTTCTTAAAAATACAGAAATACGCAAAAGGTAGAAAAGATAATAGACACAATTCAAGAAAATAAGGATATCCAGGAGGAGATAAATCAAGCCTTGAGTTTTAATCTCTTAAACAATGTCGACGATGTAATTAACAATTCGTACATTTTTACTCAGCTGATGGTTTCATATTGTTCCATGCGATTAGACATGACTTCTTGCGGTTACATTTGTCATCTTCCGATTCTATGGGTCCCCACATGACCTTAAATCACCCCCTCTCCACTCTAAATATCACACATAAATACATGCACACACACAATAGGATGTTTTTTTTTATGTCTAATAGTAACGTATATATACATTTTACGCACCATACTAACGGATTTCAATAATTGTTACTTCCACAGGACGAAATTGATAAGGAGCTTAATTTACTCAAGGAACAGACCATGGAGGAAAAACTTAGTAATTTCTACTTAATGCGTCCTTTACTATTTTAAAATATGTTTTTTATTTTTACCTATTTATTTGAAATCGATTTAACTTTTTTGTGCTTATCTAAACATTTTTTTTTTTTTTTTTTTTTTTTTTTTTTTTTCTCTCAGCTGCCAAAGTTAACAAAATACCAGAACTCCCACAAGGTATACAGATTGCAATTTATTATTCATTCTAGATCACATTTTTTTTCGATAAGCGTAGACATATTGATGGTCATATAAACCTATCCTTATTAACTTTATTTCTTTCAGATACTAAAACTGTACATGTGAAATCTACCGAAAAAACATTCTCTAAGATCACTGAAGAGGTACAAAAAATGAATTATACCATTTTTCGATTAAAATTATAAGCATTCTTTGTATATATTGTAATTATTTCCCTTTTACAAAAATGTATACTCCCCCATTCCATCAACCTCTTTCACACTCTCTGCTCTGTTCTCTGTTCTCTTTTTTTTTTTTTTTTTTTTTGCATCGTTCGCAGTCCGATGACGAAGAATTGAAGGAACTAATTGGAGAAATGACATGAGGAAAAAAATGTAAAGAAGAGAAAAATAAGATAAAAAGTAGAACAGCAAACATAGCGCAAGACACAATCTGGACATTCACGCATTCACTTATTTTCTTTTCATTTCAACATGTTAATAATGTGTTCAAATGAGACAAAAAACTTTTCACACATAATAATTTTTCTCGTTCGCGCACGTTTCACTCGAATTTTATTTTCAACAAACAGTTAGGTAATTTATCAATTTTAATTCAGACAATATTTTTCCCCATTCACGCATGTGCCCCCATATTGCGTTTACATGCATGTACATATTTCTAAGTATGTATATATATAGGTATGTGTGTGTGTGTGTGTATGTGTTCGCGTATGAACAGGCCCCTGGTTGTTTATTTTTTTATTTTTTTTTGTTTTGTTTAAGTTTTTCATTTCATATGTGCTAATCTAAGCTTTCTTTTTCTTTTTTTTATTTTTACGCATTCCATCTCAACACCATTTTCACCCCTCACATATGCAGTCTCTTTTCTATACGACTCAACTCTAACAGCTATAAAATAATAAATGATTCATTTGTCCTGCATATTATTTATTTTTTTTTTTTTTTAATTTTTTCGTGCAGTTTTCCATAATGAGGGTTATATGAAAAAAAACGAATAAACATTCAAAATGTAAAAAAAAATTGGGCATACGAAATTGGTTGTGTGTGTTCATGGAATTTGCAATGGTGGTGTAGTAACCTTGACAGATTTGGGCTACTCTGGGTCTAACACTTCCTTTAGCATGTTTACAAAAAAGTGAAAAAAAAAAAAAAAAAAAATGAGGTATAAAATTACTGTACAATTTTGTTTACTATAGCACTAAATCGATGTGATTAGTTCTGAAAGGCTTTGAACCAATATATTCCCTTTTTTATAATATGTAATTTGGAAAAATAACAACTGGTGGGGCTGAGAAATGAAGTCTACTTCAATGAAGTATGCTGGAGAAAAATTCACAATTGTACATCATACATTTGTCTTTGGATTTGTCTTCTAAAGTCCTTGCATTCATACTTTATGTGATGCATGAGATCGATAACATAATTCAGTATATGTTTAATCATTGCTATTTAATTTTCTTTAAAATGGTAATGTAATATTTTAGTTTTCTTATAATCATGATTTTTAAAGAATTTATTGTACTTAGTTACCATTCTTTCTACTTTTTTTTTTTTTTTTTGTGCATATATTTATCCCTTTTTCAATTTGTTTATTTATATTATTGTTTTTTTTTGTTTCCTTTTGCAACCTTATTTATATTTCTATATAATAAATTCAATATTTTTTTTTTACTTCCCCTAATAATATTTTGGTATTCTAATAAGACATTTAAAATTTATTGATCTATGTAATTGTTTCTATTTATCCATTTTACCATTTTATTTTCATCGAATATTTTAAAATTAGGTATGGTCACATCCTTTACCAGATTTATTCTTATAGCACCATGCTAGAATTTTCTTTTCTCTTTTTTATTTTTTATTTTTTATTTTTTTTTTTTTTCTCTCTCTTTGCATATCCGTTGTCCCTGTACCACTTTGTACCAACAAAAGTTCCCTTTTCGGCAGAACACACACTTGATGAATTCCTTCTTGTGAACAAGCAGACTAATCATAATTTGTACAATTCTTTTTAATCACTCATGTTTAATTTTTCCGAATTTTTTTTTTTATTTTTTTCCTCATTTTAATGTACCTATTTTTAAGCAATTTTTACACTATATTCTCCCTTGTTGGTATAACACCAGTTGAAGTACAAATGAATAACACAACTGTTTTGTTTTTGTTTTTTTTTTTTAAATGACGTATATCTTTTGAAACCACAATTGTTTACAATAATGCAAAATTAAGAAATTCAAATTTTTCATTTACCCAAAACCGGGGAAAATATATTGACAATGGAAAAAAAATGTAGAATAAACCTAAAAATACTACAGCAAGCATCGAACGTTGGAGGAGGAGTAAACTTATGATAATAGAAGATTGAATATATATGTCTTTAATATTACATTAGGCAATAGATTATGTGTCCCCTGTCTAGCTATTTTTCCCTTTCCCCTCTCATCCCCTACTTTCTAACTCTATATTCAACATATCTGAACAAAATAATTATCAAAATGCTAAAAATTAGTGAATTCCATGTTTGCAATTTTTATATATCATAAATTCGAAAATGTTATACACGCTAGAATTATTTTCACGCAAATGACAAAAAAAAAAAAAAGAAGAAGAAAAAAAAAAAAATCCATGAACGATAAGTCCTAGCATGGGAATAAATTTTTGGTAATTTATTTTATTTTATTTTTTTTTTTTTTTTACCATTTAACTACTTAACTGTTTGAATATGTAACCCTGCATTAGAGTCACAAAATTTTGTCACATTACAATCTTCGCAACAACTAGTTCCGGATGCACTGATTTGTTAGTAAGGCTTTCTGTCATGGTGAATATTAATAAGAAGGTAGATATTAGGATTAGCTTATTATTTTTACCCCGTAGTTTTTGCTACATTTGAAATGAACTAATTAAAAATAATACATAAAAAAAAAAGAACATACACATGTATGTAAAGGAAGAAAGAGGACATCTATGGAACTTGGTAATCAGTTGTGGGAAAGAAAAATATTAACTTACCATATGAATATATGAAAAGAAAAAAAAAAAAAAAAAAAAAGTGAACTTCAAAAAATTCTAACTTATTTTTTTTTTGCATGCAATTTTATTCAAAATAATGGTGTTATAATATCCACGTTAAATTTCACGTTTTCCTAAATACAGAATAAGGATAGTGAAATTATAATAGAAATTTCTTTAAGTATCCATAAATTACGAATTCTTTCCAGAACAATTTCTGAAAATCCCTTTTGCGAAAAAAGGTAGAACTCACAAATTTTCATGTTATCTACGAGTTCTTCGCAATCAATTATATTTCGCATAGAAACGGGAATCATAAAACCTCTAAATCCATCTGTCTTTATTTCGTAAAAGAAAATCTACACATTTTTTTTATTTATTTTTTTTTTTAAAAAAAGAAGCAGCATAATGCATAAATACAGTTAATTTTTAATGCAAAGTGGAATAAGAGAAAATGTACACATGTATATCTACATAAAAAATGTATAATGAAAAGTTGTTACAAATATTAGTTAGCCAAAATATTACACAAAACAGAGTGAAAAAAAAAAAAAAAAAAAAAAAAAAAAAAAAAAAAAAAAAAAAAAAAAAAAAAAAAAAAAAAAAAAAAAAAAAAAAAAAAAAAAAAAAAAAAAAAAAAAAGTCTCACACTTTATATGCATATGCGAAGAAAAAATATGAACGTTCAGCATAAAAATATAATTAACTTAGCAGTTGTAAGCTTAACTTATTTTTTCTTCCTTTTTTGCATGCTTGTCATGAGAATAATTGTTTTTCCACTATAGTCTTTTTTTTTTCTTTTTTTTTTTTTTCTTTTTCTTTTGTGTAAACTAAAAATGGCTAGCAGGCGCTGGTTTTTCGCCATTTTTTGTCGATGTTAATATTGTGTTACAAAGGTGAGAAAAAAAAAAAAAAAAAAGACCAAAACATCATAACAAGTAAAACATAAAAAAATAAAGTAATAATAAAATAAGAAAAAAGAAAAATAAAAAAAAAATTAAAAAAATAATAAGAACATAAAATAATAACAAAATAAAATAATAAAAAATAAATTCGTATACATTTATATAAACATAAATAAACCCACTTATTACAAGCAAACCTAACGAATATACGCCCACATTTACTATCGTCTATTCTACCTTTTACACAAATATAGTTGTCTAACCAAAACTCTTAAGCTAAAAAGCAGTTTTCAACTTTTACTAACATATCCTGTTACTATCCGTTTTTTTTTTTTTTTTTTTTGCCAAAAAATTCTACTTGTAGTACCAAGACAGCGCAGTTTGTTTTCTTTATCATCTCTGCATTTTATTGTATTAGGCGTACAATTTTTAGCTCTTTCGATAGAGCAAAAGATTTAAGTATAATTCCCTTGCAATATATAGGTAAAAATGGGACACAAGAAATTTGAGGACTATTACATAACCAAGGATAACATCAAGGAATTGTTAAATTCACCATATATAGTTTATGAAAATCTGGATTATTCGGATAGTTCTATCTTAGATGCGCAACCTTCTCGGACAGATAAACTTCTATATCGAATTGAGTATTTAAGGGTAAATCTTGAGAGTTTAAGAAGGGAAATATTTTTTACATCCTTCATGTGAATCATTATTCATTATACATTTACATTTTTTGCAATAAGTGCGTTTTAATCCGTAGGTAAGGAATGAAAAGGACATGTATATTTATACTTGCCCTCTATTCCCCCTCCTTAGGTTTGCATTATGATTCGTTCTATGTCTTTTCGTGTTTATGTTTATGTTTATATATATATATTTTTTTTTTTTCTCCCATGTTGTCAACTTCTCAGGATGGAACAGCGATATACTACAAACGGACACTTGGCGATTTTAAGAAGTTTTTCTGTTGCTTTTAAGTTAGCATAGTCAAGGGTTAATTGGCTGGTTTTACCAATTTGTCTATTTGTATTGCTTTAGTCCACTATGTAGAGCTTGAACTTTGCATTTTGGTCTTTGCATTTTGGGCTTTACATTTCAAACTTTATTTTTTAGAAGTCTGTATTTTTTCTGCTTTTATTACTGTGCCTTAAAGTTTATATTTTTTCCCCTTTTATTTATACTTTGAAGTTCATATTTTTCCCTTTTGATAAACTTTCAAACGGTGAAGTATCTTCGAGGGTTACAGGAATAGTAAATCACATGGAATTTTCCTCATTTCATGGCCACTTCAAATAATTTTTTTTTTTTTCTTTTTTTTTCAATAATTATTGTAAATTTTTTCATTATATCTTTTGTCTTAATTATTTGATGAATCTCTTCTTCTAACACATTTTTCCACTTTTGACGTTGTGAAAAAATGTTCACTTGTGTTGAAAAAAAAACATTTCATCCTTTTCATATACAGGTGTGTATGTATGAATACATGTTTACATAACTATACACACTCGTGTGTATATAACCCACTTATCTTTCTTTTTTTTTTTTTTTTTTTCGTATATCTTTTTTTTTTTCTATTAAACTTAAGATACCCACCTATGTAATACTAAACGTAAATATAAAAATGAAGCTCCATGACAATATTTATATATAACTATGGGAACATAATCCATGGTGAAAAAATAAAAAAGAAAATTATATTCATTGCCCCTTAACATTTCTCATTCGGTTCTGCAAATATATAAATTGCATTTTCCTTCCAGCGTTTTTTTTTTTTTTTTTTTTTTTTCTTTTTAGCCCTCATCACTTGATCACATCTCCATTTACAATTTCATCGGATTACCATTTCGTTCGCCTCTTTTCGTTTTCCACCAATTCGACGACACACAAAAGTGGCCTGCGTTTTATTTAAAATTGCTTCATCATATGAAGTTGTTCCAAATTTTTTGTGAATCTATTTTTGTTTATTTCGAATTAATGCTCTATATAGCACTTCTGGGAAAACACACATATACCTATCCAGACAAGTAGAATAGATTAAAAAGGGAGCAAAAAAAAAAAAAAAAAAAAGTTACATTAGCACAACAATGAACATATGTGTATATGCATAATTGTAGAGTAATTTGACATATGAAAAAAAAAAAAAATAAATAAAATGACCAAAAAAAATGGAGAAGTTAATAGAATAAAGCAAAATATACATTTGGTCCCGAAAATTTTGTGTACATTTGGTCCCGAAAATTTTGTAAACATTTGGTCCCGAAATTTTTGTATACATTTGTTCCCGATATTTTTGTATACATTTGTGTTCCAAAATTTTTTTTTTTTTTTCACCTTATCCTATAAGCATATATTAAAATATAACAAGAGAAAATATATGGATAATCCTACAGTAAATGATGTAATAAGACATAAGAAAAAACTAACTTTCAGGCTTCTTTTGTTCCTATTTTCACATAAATAGTCAAGTAAAAAAATGATACTTATAAATGCAGATATGTGAAATATAAAGAGCAAATAGGGAATATATTTTCTTTTTAGGATCGAATTGTAGGGTTCTAATTCGATCTTTACATTGGAAGCAGTAACCATTTTACTTCTATATTTGTTAAATGGGTAAGTCACAATTAGATTTGTTATATTTTTTTTCTCGATATCTGTATCGTTCAGTTCAAAACATCATTAGCACTCTTGATATTACGTGTTACATATTATTCATCCCTTTTGAAAATGTAGTAGTGGAGTTTCTTCGTTTTTTAAAAATGAAAAGTGTAACCTGGGGGATTATGGATATGGGGTGCAAAAATTATTGCAGTTCCTACCTTTTTCTTGATATCCAAAACTTCGATGTTACTACTTTTCTGGTTTGTCCAATGGCTAAGCAGATCGTCTCACAGGTGGCATACATATGTCTCCATGTATGTATAGAAACACACACACACGTGTATATATATATATATATATATATATACCTGATCGTTCGAAATACTATTGAACTTACGAGTGGAAGTAGAAATGTTACTACTCGTGCATTTAACCCTTAGCGCAATTGTAACTGTTCCATATGGCTTATGTACATATATGCTGATTAACGGACTTTAGTTTCATTTTTCTTCTAAAAATATAACAGTTGTGTAATCTGTTTTTGTACAAGTTTACGATTCAGGAATGTAGTGTACTGTTTTTGCATGAGCTGGGGGAATAGAGGAGGGATTCCAATTTGTAATATTAGTCAATACTAATATACTTACAATATTTTCTACGCCTTTCAATGTAACTGGGAATGGGAGAAAAGTGAAATCTCCCTCCTTTAAAAAAAAAAAAAAATTCCTAAAATGTAATAAAACGTAACGACAAGCAGATATCTATGTACACCCCCAAATGATATCAGTGGAATATGTAGCGCGATATGTTTTTCCTTTTTAAAATTTCTACCCCTTATTTTTTCTCATGCAATTTGAAAGTTCACTTATTTGATTGCACGTCAGCTCATTTAATGTTCATCACAAAAAAGGGGGAAAAAATAGGGCGAAAAAAATGGGGGGGAAAAAATAGGGCGAAAAAAATGGGGGGGAAAAAATAGGGCGAAAAAAATGGGGGGGAAAAAATAGGGCGAAAAAAATGGGGCGGAAAAAATAGGGCGAAAAAATAGGGCTGAAAAAATGGAGTGGAAAAAAAGAATGGGAAAAAAAAGTTAAACCTGCACAAAACTCCATCACCAACGTCCGTGGGTAGCTGCTAAATTTTGCACAAATTCACCTTGCATATACTATGTACCTGTGATTAGTTCGTCTTTGCGTTGAACTAGCAAAGCGCGAGCAATTCCCCCACTTTGAATATTTCCCAAACGAGGAAACATAAACAGGGAAATGTAAACGAAGAAAAGTAAACGGGAAAATATGAACGAAGAGAATTTAACATATATATACATTTTTATTTGCATGCATTTTCAGCCGAGCACGAGGAGTTCCACATCTGCATAACCCCACTCCACCCCCCAAAAAAAAAAAAAAAAATAAAACAAAATAAAAATGACAGTGACAATGACAATGATGATGAAGAAAGGAAAGGCAGAAACAGATTTAGAAGAGACAAATATATACAACAGCGGTTCCTACCGATACTTCTGCTGTTTGCTCACTTAAATTATTTCGAGGTTTTGAAATTATCATCTTTTTGTCATAGAAACCTGTACACTGTGATATATAAGTTGCGATTATTTTAGTTTCATTTTTGAATGATTTATTATTTATATGTGGCACATATTATGATATTTATACAAATTGACGAAACATAGTATGAACAGGAAAAAGAGGAATAGTAGTTATAGCACCCCGCATGATTACATGAATAAAGAATATGGAGAAGGAGAAGGAGGAGGAGACATCACATCCAGACACATATACCTAAATAATAAAGAGAAGAATGAAAACGACACAAAAGAGAATAGGGGCCCAGAAAATTTCGATAATTTTGGAAGAAAAATATGGGATAAAGATTATTTTAAAAAAAAAGCAGAAGAAAAAACAACAAACGAAGAAGATGAACTAATATTGAAACTACTGCCAGATTTAAACAAAAAGAAAAACATTCCTCCACCTCTTCCACCATCTGAAAGGAAATTGTTAGAAGAAAGAAAAGAAATTCTTTCACTTGATAAAAATTTAGGAAAAGTACAAATAATAACACAAAAGACGACAAAAGAAGAACAAGGAGGATATTATTGTAAAATATGTGATTGTGTATTGAAAGATTCTCAAACTTATTTGGATCATATAAATGGAAAAAATCATAACAGGATGCTTGGGTATAGTATGAAGGTAAAAAAAGTTACACTTAACGATGTTGTAAATAAACTCAATATTCTCCGTGATGCCAAAAGGAAGAAGAGTTATGAAAATGATGACCACATTGACATTGATCCTGAAGCGCGAGCAAAAAAAAAATTATTAGATTTGCAACAACAGGATGAAATGAAGATGCAGAAACGGAAGGAAAAGAAATTCCTTAAGAAATTGGAAAAGCAAAGAAAAATTCAGGAACAGGCAGGACAACAGCCGGGACAGACATCCACTTCAATAGGAGCAGAAGACCAACATGATGATGAAACTATGCAGATAAAGGAATTAGGATTACCAACATCCTTTGTATGATATTTCATTTAACTAACACTGTTTTAGGGATCTTTATATGCCTCCCACAGTTTTGGCCAAAATAGGTGCAGTAACATGTGCAGTGAAATGTGGGTAAATTTTTTTGGAACCAAATTTGGACCGCGTTGATGAAATTTTGTTCGTAGCTTTTCCACCTCTATTTGCTCATCGAATGAAATAATGCACCAGTGCTGTAATTATCATTTTATTTTCTTATTCATTCATTTATTTTTATTTTGTGCGTGCAGAAAACTTTACGCAACCTTATGATGTCATCACACAGAGAGATGAAATGGGTGTGGGAATTTCCATCAATTTGTGTGTTCAAAATGGGGGAGAAAAAAAAAAAAAAAAAAAAAAAAAAAAAAAAACGAAAAATACGCGGACAAAACTTCTGCACACAAACGGGCATGCACGTATGCAATCATGTACTCATGCAACCATGCAATCATACAATCATGCACTCATGCACTTATGCAATCATGTGCCCATCTCGATGGACGAGAAGAAAATAAAATAAACGGCAGACGGGCGAAGATGAACTGCGAAAGGTCAATATGAATGCTTCAAAATGATGAGCACTAACAAAACAAAAATTAAAGAAGTAAGGAAAGAGACACATTTTGCAGCCAGTTTGTCATCCTCCTTTTTTTGGAAGATTTTTAATTTATTCAATCCTTTTTCACATTTATCAATGGATAAATCCAAGTTATAATCAATCCGATCTAACATGGAACCTTGATCAACTAACATTACAGAGAGCTCTTTAAAAATATGATGCAAATCTATGACAGTATTGGAGATTTTTCTCAAATCTGTATTTCGTTTAGCGATATTTAAACAAGTAAGATCTTTATTTTCCTCATAAGTTAATTCATGTTGTTGTGAATTTTCGATAACTCCGATTTCAATATTCTCTACATAATCGTTACATTCATTGGATAACTTTTTAAAATCATTTATGTATTTTTTTTGTCTATTATGAAATGTATGTGATATTGATTTAAGTTGTGAAATCAGGCTTTTTTTTGCGTTCATTTTTAACTTTGCAATTATGTTATTTGAGTTACGCTGCATGGTGTGAAGTGATAATTTCTCTGAAGATCGATCTATGTTTTGCAAATCGTTGGATATTTCTCCCCCCTCTTCTGTTTCATCCCATGCAATTCCTTGAATTTTACTCTCGCAATTTTTTATTAAAAGTGTTATTTCAGTACACATTTCTGCAATTTCTTCCACGATCATCTGATCGTCATTTAAAACATTTAAAAGTTTTTTTTTTTTTTTTTTCTTTTCAAGTTCTACTAACTTTGATCTTATATTTCTTATCTCTTCTGAGCACTCTTCTACTTTTTCAATCCAAGCTGGAGGTAGTAAACTATGCTCTTGCATCTCAATATCTTTATTTCTATTTAGAAGATTCTCCTTACCTGAGTCATCATCATTGACGTCATTGAGCTGTTCATATGCAGACAATTTGAATCTATTCCTTTTCTTTTTTATCTCCCTTCGGTAATCGAAATAAGTGTTCGTTACATTTCTGTAAATGATCTCCATACCTATGCATTTCTCTCTCTCTCTCCACCCCCTCCTTTTTTTTTTTTTCTTTATTTTATTATTATTTCAGTTTGGATCCTTTATACGGGTTTTTTTCTTTATTTTAATATTTTTTTATTTTTATATACGTTTGTAAAGCATTCTGTGGACGCACCAAATGGGTGAAGCATACTTTTTGGACTTATTCCTATAGATAATTATATGCTTCTTTTTGTTCTCACTATTTATTAGAATATTACTCTTGTGTATTAATTCTCTTATCCTACTTATTGGATATTTTTCCAATTAACATGATCAGACAGTCTATGCTTTACACAACTCACTTCATCTTATATGCAAATATTGGAAGAATAATAAAAAAAAAAAAAAGGGAGAAAAATCAAGTGTAATAAAAATTCCCTTTAACTGGGCCGTGATTATCATCAAGATTAGTTTCAGAAAATCTTCCGAAGGGAGAGTATACTCACAAAAATTTTTTTTTTTTTTTTTTTTTATTCCCTGTTGTTCTTTTGTTTACCCTTGGACATGTGTATACAATAAAGTATAAATATATGTATTTACTAAATTCCCTTTGGCTATCTCGTCTGTTCTATAATTTTTTTTTTTTTTTTTTTTTTTATTTTGTTACGACAGTACAATCGAGTGTTGAAGTTGACCCTTACTTCTTATATTCATCATCTTCACCATTTAGTGTGTCACCAATACTCCCTTTTTTTTGTGTACATTTCAAGGTATCTTTTCTCGTGTGCCACTTTTTTATTTTATTTTTTTAAATGAAAATTTTTCATTTGAGAGCCGATTTTGTTATATTTTGCTACATGTATGCATGTATATATGTATGTGCGCATAAATATATGTACGTATATATGTATATATATATATATATTTTTTTTTTATTTTTCTTTCTTTTTTCTCTCCCGTAGTGACCAATAGCAACTCGAATAAAAAAAAAAAAAAAAAAATGTGTAAGTCCGTCCCCCTTTTTTCAAAATATCGAACTCCTCAATCCATGTTAAGCATTCCAAAGTGTCAAATGAACACAACAACTACCAAACGTTTCCAGAAATGGAGCCGAAAATGAATCAGAAAATGGGTCCGAAAATGGACCTGAAAATGGATCAGAAAATGGATCCGAAAATGTGTGTTCCCTAAATGGATATCTATTAAGGGGCGCAATTCAACTCACACAATAGAAAAGAAGGAAAAAGTAGCACCTAGCTATCTTTGAATAAAGGTGGGACAGATACATGCTGAGAAAACTGAATCGACTAGGTTCATGAGTTTTTTGGGATGTCGGGATGACCATTTCTCACATATGAAGAGACATACCTATTGTATGTTATATATTGCCCATTTATATCCGTACCTTCACTACATCAGTCTGTTTCTTTTCCTTTGTTTGCAAGCTACACTTTTTATTATTTATTTGGAGAAAAAACATTTTCAAAACATGGACATTGTATCCCTCATTTTTTTTTCATTTTGCCTGAACACATGCAGTTAACATTCATGCACTTATTTTATCATTTAAAGGACGTGAAAAAGAGGTGTATATACGTAAACTGCATACTCAGACAATACTCTTTATAGGGAAACAAAATCAACACGTTCGTACATTTCAACACATAGGGGGTTTGTTCTTAATTTCTCGTCAATGTTTAACCTCCATCCCCAACTCTGATGATTTTTGATAAATTTATTTTAAACCAGTAATACCTATATATTTTTCATGTCTTAATTAGAACAGGTAATTATACAACACATTGAAATAATTGGGTGTAACTCCTTTGAAACCTTAATTTTTGGCATTAAAGACCTACCATTGGGCCTTTTATTTATTACCATTATTGTGATTGCTATTATTGTGATTGCTATTATTGTGATAATTATTATTATCATTATTATTATTAATTTTTTTTTTTCTTATATTCTTTCTAAGGGAATATACATACCCCTTCTCCCTTTGTATGCGGATCACGAAACGCATTAAATAGGTTGTAAAAAAGAAAAAAAAAATAAATGAAATATTAAATAAAAACTATATAAAATTATAAATGTTCCCGAATTCAGAAATTAACAAAGTTCCAAAAATTAATAAACTCAAAATTATGTGATAAAAAAAGGAAGAAAAAAGGATGCTTGCGCAACAGCTGTTGAAGCTAGTCAACATTAGCTAATTCTTAACTGAATTGTCGGGGTTGGGTGGGGGTAAATCAATCAGATTTTTTTTTTTTTTTTTGCACAGATCCGAAAAAACACATGCCACTATAATGGGTGAGAAGTATAGTACACGTTATTCTTCGTCCCATCATTCATTATTTTTTTTTTTTCCTATCTATTTCTATCTATTTCCTGCTTTTTTCTCACTCTATTTCCAATTTTTTTTTTCTATTATTTTCCTATTATTTTCTTTTTTTATCAATTGACACAGGTTGCTTTTACAAACGTACAAGCCCACTCAAAGAAAGCAGTAAAATAAATTGTACATGCACGGCTATTCCTTTGTTTTTTTTTTTGTATGTTCTTTTCATATTTTTTTCTACAAAAACTGGAAAAACTGGAAAAAACAAATATAAGCGAAAATTGCAAGAAAGGCAAGAAATAAAAACGCGCCAATATGAATCTGACCACCTCAACGGATGATAGTCTTGATGATAAAAACAGAGCAGCGGTATGATTTTCACCCCATCATAAACACACAAATTTTCATCGTTTAAACAAGGATTCATAAAAATGTGTATGCAATGTCACATTCTGGATTAATGATAATTCTTTATGATTCATGTTAAGACCCATTTGATGAACTGAACTTCTTTTTTCATTGAGCTTTGTGCATTCAGGAGAGTCAAATGTGTTTCCACATTTGTTCCTTCTGTGCCAAATCTGTGTGTTGTGAGAAAAATAATATTCCATTATTTTCTGATTGTACATATCTTAAACAACCTCCACATCGCGTACACTTACGTGTGCATTTGTTAGGTTCTCCTGGGATTACAAGAAATAATTCAGAGACAAAAAGAAAACGTTAAGGTGATGGACATTTGCTTCAACAAGTGTGTCCCCAAAATAGGACCCCAATTGAGTACCTCAGAGCAGAAATGCATTTGGTGCTGCGCAAGTAGCTATTTCTATACCAACGTTTTTCTGAACGAGTTAGTGAAAATGAAAAAAAAAAAAAAAAAATAAAAAAATGAAAAAAAAAAAAAAAATAAAAAAATGAAAGAAATAAAAAAATGAAAGAAATAAAAAAATGAAAGAAATAAAAAAATGAAAGAAATAAAAAAATGAAAGAAATAAAAAAAAATCAAAGAAGTAAAAAAAAAAAAAAAATGAAAGAAATGAATGAAATAAAAAAGTAAATATTCTTATATATTATCAAAATGTGCTATTACTTCAGGATATAATGTGAATTTAAAAAAAAAAAAAAAAAAAAAGATTGGCACCCTTTCGTGGCATACTTTTCTGCTTTTATTCATATATTTGTCTATATTAGCTTGTCATATTTATATACAAAATTAATAACGTTTATTTCTTTCCCTATTTCCTCATTTTACAGACGTCTACAACAAATGACGAAGCTTTTAAAATCAAGCACAGATAATATGAATTTGTAAACCATTAGTATTTTTTTTTTTTTTTTTTTTTTTTTTTTTTATCCCACTTGTTCTAGACCATTTCGATAATGTTATTGCTTTTAGCATAATTTTTTTTTTTTAAAAAAAGTGGGAAAAAAAAAAAAAAAAAAAAAAAGAATTTTATACCCCATTTCACTTGTCAAACAACTTTTAAAATTTAATCATTTTCATACCTTTTAAAAAATTATGCACCACTTTTAAGATTTTCATTTTTTCACAAATTAATGAAATATATTGGAATGTCTACATGTACCAAATGGATAGCGCATTTGGCATAATTTAAACAACCCATTTTTTATTTCTATATAACCATATATATTATTTGCATACAAAAACTTATTCAGAAATTCTCATAATGGCTAGTTATACAGAATGTTTATTCATCGCTTGGACAAAGCAACAGTGTGTACGCCTCACTAATGTGGGAGATATAACCTAAGTCTCACACACCTATGGTATGTAAAAACTAAGCAAAGAAAAAATGGATGCATGATATCAGAATAATATAACATAAAAACAAATCCTTCTTCCTCGGTTTGAAAAAAATTTATGCTTTTAAGAACGTGTGAGAGAAAAAAAAGAAAAAAAAGAAAGTATGATATTAAGAACTGCTGTTCTTATTCATGTTATATCAATAGAGTGTGTACTCTGTATTATGTATTTGTCTTCACATGGATAAACTGAAAATACGTCTTTTTTTTTAAACGTTTCATTTTATTCTGAGATAAAACTGTTTGTAGCAATTTTTATGGCTTCACATGAGTGGAAAGAATTCAATCACAACAGATTTCTCCTCTTTTCATTTTTTTCTTTTTTCAACCTTAGTACGGCGTGGAAATTTCAGTGGGTCGTAAGTATTACTCTTGTAGTACCACTTTTTTTCTAATCAAAGGGAAAATGTTGATGAGATGATAATATATTTATTTTCTGAACTTATAAGAAACAATAGGGGTGTGTATAAAATAGTGACTCTCCCTGCATATGCATTACTAACTTGCTAATCTCGTGATATATATTTTGGTTAAAAAAAAAAAAAAAAAAAAAATGGAGACCTAAAGAATGAGGATGAGGGTTTCGTTTTATTGTATGTGCATTTAACAAATTCTTGTTAACAAGTTTTCAACGTAATGTGCGCACCTCATAATTTATATATGCATATGGATACCCCTCCTCCCTCAATACATATTCTTTGCTAAATGTTATGGTTTATTTTTAACACTTTTTTTTTTTTTTTTTTTTTTTTTTTTTTACTCTATGAGTATAAAAGTTTTAGTCTTATTCATTTTGCGTAACTTTATTTCAAACAAAATTTTTTTTTTTTTTTCTTCTTTTGTTTTTCATGGTGATGCTTGTACCTGTACACGTGCTTAATTTTATAAACATTGATATATTGATATGTTACATACCTGCTTTGGTATTATCTACTCGAGGATAAGGTATAGTTAAGAATTTTTTTTTTTTTTATTTTTTTTTCCTGTTATTTCCTGTATCGTATTCATTAATCAGGACGAATGAGAACAATATCGAAAAATAACAAAAAGCACATTGACTTTCATAGTATATGAATATTGTATTCCTTCCTATGGAAATATGTGTATATATATATATATATATATATATGCATGTACATATACACATATATGTATTAATTTTTTTTTTTTTTTGCGTAAGAACGTAAAAAAGTTAGCCACACACCTTATGATCTTCATCTGATTTACTACTTTTATAAGAAGCTATTATCACCATTCATCAAATTACGAGAGTACATGCAAATTTGTTGCTTATGAAATAAGGGGATAAATAAAAAAAAAAAAAAAAAAAAACTGCAAAAAAAAAAAAAAAAAAAAAAAAAAAAAAAAAAAAAAAACTGCAGAACGAAGAAAAACGAAGAAAAATTTAGCTATAGTAGAAATATAAATTTAAAAGAAGAAAAGGAAAAAAAAAAAAAAAAAAAAAAAAAACGAGATTTACAGTTTTCTACCTATAAAAGGATAGTACAATGAATGAGCATTATGATGTAATACAATACATAGGGAAAAATATATGAACACAATGTTGCCTATGTTTTTCAAATAAAGAGCTAATACATATACATATTTGTATATATGTATATATATCTGTATATATGTGCCCACACATGGGCTCGAATACCTATACACACATATGTACAGAGTCAGCACTGCCCTGAACGAGTTCTCTTCATTGTGCAGATTCTTTTAAACCTACCAATTTACCTGAACGTTCATACAATTATTTCAAACCTTGCACACACACCTCTTATGCTGAAACTTATAGGTTATCATTCTGGGAACAGGACTAAAGGAATGTATATTAAGCGGTCTACTCTCCCACTATGGTGATAAATATTTTTATATCTGAATTATGTACATGCTAAATGAATGTGAATAATATTGAAAAACACATTCGATTGTTGTTTAGCTAACCAAAGAAATTGCTGATCAAAGACAAAAAAAAAAAAAAAAAAAAAAATCCCATAATATATAACGTAGTAAATGTTGACATATATTTATACCCATATTTATGCACTTAGTTACACCCATATTTATGCACATATTTACATACATATATATGTAATTATTTCCTTCCTCTATGCAGGAAAAAAAATTCTTGTTCTCGATAGAAATCCATACTATGGTGGAGAAACAGCATCTCTGAACTTGACGAATTTGTACAACACCTTTAAACCAAGTGAGTATTCCCTCCGAGCAGTCTTTTTTACTGTTTTGAGAGTATAGAAAAATGAAAGGAAAAAAATAAAAAAAAAAACATAAAGTAGGAAAAGGATTAACATGGAGAGTACATTTAGAACAGAAAAAAGTGCACCCTTCTTTTTGAACGCAAACGAGTTGTTTTGTTATACATCAAGAAATGTCCTTGTCAATGTGTCTATCAGTGCTCCAATTTGTATGAACCATGCGGAAAAAAATATCTTCCAATATTTGCAATTAATGTGTATCGTTGTCAGTTCGTCCATTTCCTCTACTTCTTCCATTTCCTCCACTTCTTCCATTTTTGGCTATGCTTCTCACACCTGACAGATGAAAAGATTCCCAGTAAGTACGGAGAGAACAGACACTGGAACGTGGACTTGATTCCCAAATTCATTTTGGTTGGAGGGAATTTAGTAAAAATATTGAAAAAGACGAGAGTCACGAATTATTTGGAATGGTTAGTTGTGGAAGGTTCTTATGTATATCAGCATCAAAAAAAAGGTTTATTATATTCTGAGAAGTTCATACACAAAGTGCCAGCTACAGATATGGAAGCACTAGTATCACCACTATTGTCATTAATGGAAAAAAACAGATGTAAAAATTTTTATAAATATGTAAGTGAATGGGATGCCAATGATAGAAACACATGGGATGGATTGGATCCATACCGATTAACAATGATGGACATATATAAATATTTTAATTTATGTCAACTAACAATAGATTTTTTAGGACATGCAGTTGCATTATATTTAAATGATGATTACTTAAATGAACCTGCATACGTAACTTTGGAAAGAATAAAATTATATATGCAATCCATTTCAGCATTTGGAAAATCCCCATTCATATATCCATTATATGGTCTTGGAGGAATACCCGAAGGTTTCTCAAGAATGTGTGCAATTAATGGTGGTACATTCATGCTTAATAAAAATGTAGTTGATTTTGTGTTTAATGAAAATAAAAAAGTATGTGGTATAAAATCAAGTGATGGGGAAATTGCTTACTGTGATAAAGTAATTTGTGATCCAAGTTATGTTATGCATTTAAAAAATAAAATAAAAAAAATTGGTCAAGTTATTAGATGTATATGTATTCTGAGCAATCCTATTCCTGAAACGAATGAAATTAATAGTTGTCAAATTATTATTCCACAAAATCAATTAAATAGAAAAAGTGATATTTATGTAAATCTTGTTTCGTTTCAACATGGTGTCTCTCTTAAGGGAAAATATATTGCTATAGTTTCAGCTACTGTAGAAACGAATAATCCTTTGAAGGAAATTGAAAAACCTCTTGAATTGTTAGGACCAATTGAAGATAAATTTGTTAAAATATCAGACCTGTACGTTTCAACCACGAATAAGCCATCTGATAACATTTTTGTAACATCATCTTATGATGCTACTTCCCATTTTGAAACAGCCACCAATGACCTCCTCCAAATATGGGAGAATTTATTTGGAGAAAAATTAAACTTTGATGATTTGAATACCAAGGCCGACAATGACCTATGATTTTTCAAGTGCTGCATCTACCGAACCAGATTGGGACACATCATATGTATATACATATATATATATATATATATATATTTATGTGTGTCTATATGCTTGTGTGTAGACTGGGAGAAGGTGTAGATCCTTTTGGATGTCCCTCGAAACAACTACACTTATCACTGCAATCGTATCCTTATTCCGTATGTTAATTCAGAGCACGTTGTTCTGCGTGTTTTTTTTATTTTATTTTTTATCTCACTTAAGCACATTTCATTTCAGTTTAACTTTTATCATACCTTATTTTATCACCCATCGCGCGCCTATTTTACCTCAGCTTCTTTTATTTTAACTCATCTTCTTTTATTTTACATCATCTTCTTTTATTTTACCTCATCTTCTCTTATTTTACCTTAGCTTCTTTTATTTTACCCCACTTTGTTTTTCTTTTTTTTTTTTTTTTTTCTTCCCATGTCAAGCGCGAGCGTGCAAACTGTACTTACATTACCCATGCGTGCCACCACCTTATGAGGCCCATCATTTTATGCCCAAGTTCATATATGCATGTTTACATATTAATGCACGTTTACATGTGCATGTATACATATATATAAATATACTCATCACACAAATTTGAATTTGTTTTCCAAATTAAAACTAAGAATCATTTATTAATTCACACAATTTGGGAATGAATAGTAATGTGCATATGCGAAAAAAAAAAAAAAAAAAAACAAGGTTCGAAAATTTCCACTCTACTAAGCTGTATAATATTATATATACAGTTTATCCAAAATGAGCCTTTAGGGGATCACAAATTATTTTACAGTCTTTTTATGCCTCGATTATGTGAAATATATATTTTGTGCTGTGCAAATTCAATATGGGGTAAAAAAAAAAAAAAAAAAAAATTATTCTCCATATGAAGTACACATATAGGCAAAACAAATTTTGTAAAGAACCGTTTATATTTCCCACGCATGGTTACTCCATTTTTCGATTTTGTTAACATACATATTTGATAAGAAGGTATTTTTCACATGTACCATATTTTCAACATGTGTATAGTGTGTATAGAGGGCGAGGGAGGGGTTATAAACGTGATGCACGATGGGGCAATTTCCAAACATGACCGTTGTATATACATTTTAAAAAAAATTAAAATAGGATTAAAATAGTTCTATTCGTATGTGGCTGTTTTAGAAATAAAAAAAAAAAAAAAAAAAAAAAAAAAAAAGAATGAAAAAAAGAAAGGAAAAAACGAAAGGAAAAAAAATGTATATATATGTACATGCGATTTTTTTTTTTTTTTTTTTTAATACTTTGCCACCTCTATATGTGTGCTTGTAACATACAAATGCATTTACACGTTAGGGGGTCAATATATGGGACGTGTATATATCTCATGTATCCAGTAATGAAGATCCATTTTTTTAAGCATTCTCTCCACTTCAAGCTATTTCTCCTTATTGAAACCTTTTAAATGTAGAACGTTTTTCTATATTTCGTTGTTTTTTTTTTTTTTCACGGATGTATCCGAATGTCTTTTTTCGAAATTTACATAGATATGCTAGTAATATATATGTAAATGAATTAATGGCTTATATAAAAATATCCCAATATATACCCATATCTCACTATACCACAATATCCCTTTTTTCACTGAATAGTTGGATGAATGAACATCTAATAATGGTTGTTCATCCTGTTCTGTTTCTGTTGGTTGGAGTTAATCATGGGATTGTGGACTTTCATATTGCTGATATTTATTCCCAAGGACTTTATCATTCGTACCGTATCGGGTTCAACATATATAACATTAACATCTATTTGCGATTTTTCAGGAACAAAATCTAAACGTCTTTCTCTTTCTTCTTCTTGTAATTTCAAACTGATACCTCTAACAGGTCCCTTTTGTATTCTTTTCATTAAATGCGTAACAAATCCAGCAACTTTATTTTTCATTCTTTTGGAGGGAATAATTGCAACCTCTTCCGTTATCTTTTTGTTTATTTGAAAATCCAGGGTTAACTTTGCATAATACTTTTCCACAATTTGCCTAGCGGCTCTTTTAATGGTTTTGGTTCGTACTCTTCCCTATAAGTGGGCAAGGAGGAAGGGACATTGGTAGTGGTGAGAGATATAATCAAGGGATGAAGGGCTGCTTTTTATGTACATATGCACAAACGGCACGAATATAAAAGTTCATGTTCAAATGGGTATGTGTTAAATCAGGTGATTTCAAGTGTGTGGGAAGTTCTTTTAATAATTTTTAAAATTCAAATATGAAAAATTCTGAAGAGGCGCGCACACTCTTGTGTTCAGAGGTTTATGGGATTTAGCTTTTCCAAAAAAAAATGGAGTTAAAAAATTTATTCCTTTTTCTTCCCATTAGTTATACCCAATGTGCTCACTCCATGCTCCCTCCACAGCATTCACGTGTACATGCTTATATATACATATATATATGTACATGTACAAGTACTATTACTATTACTAGTAATCTAATGTCAATCGTGTAACTGTAATTTTTTTCCTTTTTTTGTGCGAACAAAACTTACCATTTTTATCAAGAAAAACGTGAAATATTTGCTTGTTCTCAAAAATTTATTCTATATATTTCGAAAAATATATATAATAGTATTTCAAAAAAAAAAAAAAAAAAAAAATATAAAAGAAATGTTCAATATCTCTTCAATAATTTATATCTTCTTTTTTTTTTTTGTGGCATTATTTTTTATGCATTCATAAAAATATATACCTACGGGGGGGGGTTTCCTTCAAAATGTTACAAAACTTTTTTTTTTTTTATTCACAAATTGTTTTCTCCATCTAATTTTGTAGAAAACAAAAAATAAATTCGGCATATATATATATATATATATATATATATATATATATATATATATATATATATATATATATTATATACGTATATTTGTTACAACATTGGAAGAGAAACGAATGGGGGAAATTCCTTACTAAAGTAGAAAACAAAAAGAACTATTTTTTTTTTTTTTTTTTTCTTTTTTGTATGCAATGGATGTAAACTTGTATATATGTGTTGCTTTATAAAGTCATTCATACAAATAAAATATATTCATAGTGTAGTGATAAATTATCATCCATAGGGTTTTCCTAACAGTATTAACTTTTTTGCATTGTTCAATGAGAAGTAAGGCAATACACCAACCATTTCGTCCCTCATATTCGACCACAATGTATATCCATGTATATAAGTGGTATGTATATATGTGAATACTTATACATTTATATACGTATATATATTAGGTACCATACTTACATATATTTATATATATGTATATACGTACATACATATATATATATATATATACTCAATGCTTCAATTTTTGCTGATTGACCCTAGTGGGAGGGGAGTATACACTTCTCCTCCACTACTATCATAAGGATATATACTTATGTATGTGCAGCATACACTACCCTGCTCAACATTTTTTTTTTTTTTTTAAAAGTTTATGCACCGTTCAGAATTTTTTTATTATTATTTAAACCCCCTTGAGGTAAATGTACTATTTATTTTTTTTTTTTCCTCTTTTTTTGCCTTACCTGCGCAAGGTAAAAAAAAATAGTTGAAAAAAAAAAAGTTCATTCGTGAAAATTGTATATATTAGTTTTGTTATTACTTACATAGGATGATACGATTTTCCCAAGTTATTTCTTCTAATTACATGTAACAAATTTTGAGAAAAAAAAAAAAAAATCGCCACGTGCACTCTAGTGGAAAAAATATATGAAAACATGAATATATTTAAAAAAAAAAAAAAAAAGAGAAAAGAGGATTATTTTAAAACACCCTCACCCCAAACCCTTTCCACCCTAATGAGTTTTGTTTTAATGTGTGGAACAATAACTTAAGTTAAACATTCACTTGTATTATATATTATGCTTAAGCTTGTTGGAAATCCGGAAAAGTAAGATAAATGTACGAAGTGGTCGTAAAAGGGGTGGTGACTGTGTTAGATGGTGATGGTGGGAGAATTAATTTCACATAAAAGGTTTCATAAATTTTTTACTTTTTCCTTTTTTTTGCCCCTAAAGAAAAGATCAACATTAAAATTCCCAACTTTATGTGAAATTCCAAGTTTTAGGGACTGATGATGGAACTTCCTTAAGTTTCATCATTTTTCTTCCGCAAAAAGTAGATCCAAATACATTTAAAAAAAAAAAAAAATTAGGATGTACATGTAACTACCTACACCTCATGAGGGGATATGTCGTAGTGTTACATATCAATATGTTTTTGAACCTCTTCAATTTTGCTTCTCCACACGGTATCATTGAAATCATCATATTTTTCAAGATACCTGTAGCACTGTATATGTAAAAAAAGGAGTGAGAAAATGGCATAACATGAAGTATATATATATATATGTGTGTGTGCCACATTTGGTAGTGTTTAAATGAGAAACACGATACACAGATTCGATGAGGCGTTGCAATTATACATTGTTCTGCTATATACACTTGTATGAACATGTTTATGGGAGGGGGAAGATGAGGGAAATTTCGCCCTGTGGACTTGTGTTAAAATACATAAGTCCAAGCCCGATTTGTAATTCTAAACTTTTTTACACACACATAGACAGTCTCTATGGATATGCTCCTCATATTAGGTATGCGAGACTCGTAGGGTCACATATGTGCTTAGGGGGTGAAGGTTTGTAACTCGTGAGTGTGGACTGATCATCACGGAGATGAACAGAATTACATAGCATGTACACATGTACGTATGTATGTATTATGCATGTACATGTTCATACGATGCGCGCAGAAGACACGCCGCATGGTGTACCTGAACTTGTACGGAAAGTAAGCCATTGGAAGAATACAGTTCCGACAGAAAAAGGGAAACATATTTGGAATTCGTCTTAAGCTTGTCTAGTTCATTTTTTAAATTAAGAATTATGGGTATTTCGAAAATATCCTTTATAGGAGGATTTTTTTTTTTTTTATGTAAATCAATATATTTAAAAACGATATGAATGAAATACCTGAAAATGGTTTCATTGTGACAAAACTGTTTTGCATAATTTAAGCAGAATTTAATTTCCTTCTCTAGTTTTACTATTTTACTTATATATTTTAATTTCGTAAATATAAAATATCTGTATACCCACACTGAGTTGTTATAAATATCATGTTTTAAAAAACAATTGATAAAATTAAATTCATGTGCGATGATATTATATTTCTCACATAAATATTTATTTTTAAAAACTTTTAATTTATCAATTAACCATGTTTTGTGTGCCCATGAATTGTAATTCTTTGCATCAAGAAATATATCGCAATTACTACAAAGCATTTCTTCATATAAAAATTCGTCTATGTTTATCTCCTTATCATCTGGATTTAAAGCATTTTTGAAGAAATTACAACTTTCTACAATGTTACACAAAGTTTCATGCAAAATGACAACATCTTCTTTTTTGATTTCCAAATCTGTCTCGTCGTAGTTGCTTATGAACGCATCTTCTTCCGAATTCAGTGCAGCCTCCTCATCATGTCCATTCGTTCTCTTGACAGATTCTGCTGATGTTGGAATAGCTCTCCTCCTGCTGTCACCATTAGGAGAAACGAGACCAAAGTCAGAAGGTCCATCATTGTCACTACTTTCACTACTTATAAAGTTATCATCATCTTCCAAGAAATCATAATTATCCACGTTGATTTTATCACGCTTCCCATTGCATTTTTGTCTATGTTTTTCTGCACTCACACAATGGTGACAATTTTCTGCACTCCCACAATGGTGACAATTTTCTGCACTCCCACAATGGTGACAATTTTCTGCACTCCCACAATGGTGACAATTTTCTGCACTCACACAATGGTGACAATTTTCTGCACTCACACAATGGTGACAATTTTCTGCACTCACACAATGGTGACAATTTTCTGCACTCACACAATGGTGACAATTTTCTGCACTCACACAATGGTGACAATTTTCTGCACTCACACAATGGTGACAATTTTCTGCACATGCTCCCCCCCCCTGCGCATCTTCTTGATCTTTTCTCCTCCTCTCTCTTCTGGTCATTTTGTAAATATACTCAACCAGCCACCTTCGATGAAACCAGCTCTGAAAACTTTTTATATTATCATTAATGATAAACCTGGTAAATCTTAAATCATTTCTGAAATTCAAATTCAATTTCCTTAAACATTTCCTCCTGTATATCCACGCAGAGTAGTAAGATGGATTTATTTTAATAGCAACGGAGGATACAATATACCCTTCAAAAGAATATATTTTTGATTCAATAAATGAAGCTAATAATGAGTATACTAATTTTTCATTCTCTGTATAGTATGTGTTTAATATATTTATTTTTTCTTTATTTTTTATTTTTTTCTCATTTTTTAAGTCAAATAGATAATATTTCTCTCTTTCCTTTTCTAAAGCTATCATGTCAATATGCAAATTATTTTTCGATGCTGTCTTAAATAATGGTGTATTCAAAAGAACCTTTACGTTGAACCCATCCAGCTGTTCTGGGTAATTCACCTGGAATTTCATTGCATACGCCTGTTGTTCTCTCTCCATCTCTTTTACCTGTGAATCCAGATAAGCTACTGGGTTCAGTAAACCCCTCGCACAAGTGCTTCTAACCACTCTTCTGAGACGTTCTCTCTATTGCATATGCTTTGCCTCGCAACTAAGAATGTGAAATTAATTTATTCCGAAGCAGGATGAAATATCGATGCACTGCTGACTGAAAAAACGGCTATACTAATCTACAAAAAACCATTATCACATTCAGTTAAAGATTTATCCATTTTGCAAAATAACACAAATGGTTGCGTCTCAGGGGTGAGGGGTGAGGAGAGAGGAAGGTAATATAGCCGTAAAATGCATACGAGAAAAATCGACAATTTTATTTTAAAAAACCCTTCGTTAAAAACACAAAAATTCGTGGAAACAAGCAGACAGTATTGTAAAAAGTTATGATGACCACATATGGCAAACGGTGATTGTGATAAAAAGGAGGAAGGAAGCAGATTCTATAGCAGTGGGGCGCCCTTTATCGCTCTACCTTTTCGAAGGAGAGAAAAACATGCAAAAGTTGAATGAAAAACATGAAAAAATTGGATAAAAAATACAGAACGAAAAAAAAAAAAAAAAAAAAAAAAATGGGTTAACTTCTCTCACGCAAAAAAATCGAAGACGAGAATCATGCGAAATACGAACATTTTCTACTTTGACCAATATTTCTAGTTTGACCAATATTTCCAGTTTGACGCGAATTCAAATGTTTACGAATACGGATTTGGGTAAACTTTATTGAGCAAGCCCTTGTTATCTGGCCACACTTGTTTCTCATCGGCGTGCTGAATAAAATGCTTCCTGTAAGTTTTATACTTCTCTTTTTTTATTTTCTTTTTTGTTAATTTATCAATAAAGGAATATCTCCTTCGTAGATATAGAGGATCGATAAATCTGTTTCTGATCCAGAATGTTTTTCGTAAGCTTTCATTTTCACTTAATAAATTTATAAACTGCTTCTTCGATTTTTCGCATTCATCCACTTCTTTTTTACATTTTTCTCTTCTCTCTTCTAGCCCGATGTTCACGTCACAGTCTACATAGTACAGCTTTTCGCCACTTGCATTTTCTTCCTTCTGTTTATTCAATCTCATGGCCATTTTATCCCCCTGCACCTGATTATTACCAAGTATTATCCTTTTAAATAACAATTTTCCCTTGGTTCTAGTAAAAATTATTTTTTTATAATGGTTCATTTGTGATGATATTTTTTCACATTCCTTTTGAGGGATCATATTTTGTCCTTCCTCTTTATGTAACACTTTTTTTTTTACCATTTTTTTTCCTGGCGTGCTCTCATCATTTTCGTTCTCATTTTGTTTTTGTGTGTAAAAATCGGTATGACTAAAATTTGATTTATCCGTTTGCGTCTCACTGGCAGATCTGGATGATCGGTTGAACCAAGTGAAGTTCTGATCTCCCAAGTTTAATTCTTTTAAATCATCAGGGGATAAAGAATGATTGTGTTTATCAGCTGGGAAGATTGTCAAGTACAAGGAATAAAAATCCTTCAAACTTTGATTTTCGAAATATAATTCCTTTGGTATATTTCTTAAAAACTTTTCCACCTTATCCTTATTCTCAACAATCAAATTAATGCACTTTTGTAAATTCATTAAACTATCATCTGTCTCCTTTTTCTGAAATCGTACAGTCTGCATTCTCATATATTCCTTTAAATTAAAATCAAGGTGTAAATATTTTGATGGGAAATAATAATTCTGCATACTTTTTCCCAGTAGTGGTTTAATCCAGTTTTTTTCACCTGGCATATTTTCCGTATATCCAAAAATTTTTTTTTTGCATGACTCAATTCCTTTTAAGTTCCACCCTTTAATATCACCTACGTTTTTTATTTGGCCTATTAAAATCCTTGGTTTACTCATTTTACCGGCGAGAGAACTTCACCTGCACGATCAGAAGTTTCTCCTGCACGGTCAGAAATTTCACCTCAACGGTCAGAAGTTTCGCCTGAACGGTCAGAAATTTCCCCTGCACGGTCAGAAGTTTCACCTGAACGGTCAGAAGTTTCACCTGAACGGTCAGAATATTAAGCCTAAAGGGTAATTTCTAACACAAGCAATAAATCTGCTCTTTTAGTGGTAACCCCACCCATGGAGGCTTAACTTTGCAGTTGTTGCCAAGGTAATATTGCATCGTGTGATGAGAACTTTTAGGAGTACATAATGCGTAGTTATAAACTTTTCGCACAATTTAAGGATCCATTTAGGCCTCAAATTTGATTTTACAAGAACGAGTTTAAAATCTTTAAAAAAAAAAAAAAAAAATTAAATGGCTAAATCAATTCATAAGCAATTTTTCCACAAACAAAAAAAAAAAAAATAATAATAATAATAATGAAGCAAAATAAACCGTTTTATTTATATAAAAGCATATAAATTGTGAGTTATTCACATGAACATATACATTTATGGGATCCTCCAAAAATGTTATTTCACGAACTTCTATTTAGCAATTATTCCATAGTGAATACGTTTCATATGTGCATATACATTTTCGCACTCATTTTCTATTCATACATTTGTGATTATTACCCCAATTAGTAGAATATCCTAAATGCATACTGTTTTTTTTTTTTTTTTTTTTTTTTCTAGTGTGCTACGTCTTTTCTCTATCTAAAAGAAATTAAAGAAGGTAAATGTTACTCCACAAAAAAAAAGGTTAATAAAACGTATTGCACATTTTCCTGTTTTGCTAAATGTTCTCCCTTCGTTGAATCCCCTTAAATGCCTCTCTTTACATTTATATCCCTCATTTTTTTCTCATAAATATTTGAAGTGTCTTTTATTTTTTTTTTTACACGCTTCTCTGTATACAACACATTCTCAAGCTCTTTATTGTAAGTTTCTATACAGAAGGTTATCCCATTCTGTACTTTTTTCACATCATCATCACTAATATTATGGCTTTTTATATATGAAGTTAATTCCTTGTTTATTACATCCATATCGATATCAACACTTTGTACCATTTTTTTTAAAAGCATGTTTTTATTTTTTATTTCTTCAAAATAGTCTCCTAACTCTGTTTCAATATTTTCGTTTTCCCCATGTGATAATTCCTTAAATGCTTCCTCCACTTGTACTATTTTGTCCTTGGAATTTTTAGAAAATTCTCTTAAATTTTTTATATACACATTGTTTTCATTGTAAATGAGTTCCAAATTTTTGAATATCACAAAGTCCTTTGAATAAAATTTTAAGTCTTTGTTAAGGTCCTCCCTGCAGGGTTCAGCAAATGTGTACCTGTGTATGAGTACGTAACTTTGCAGTTTTGAACAACCTTTTACATTAAGTATATATAGTTAGTGGATATATTAAAATGTTCATATTTTTTGCATGCGTTTTTTTTTTTGGGGGGGGGGGGGGGGGGGGGGGCTTGTGAAAAGAAAAAGTTTCCAGTTTTTTCTTTTTTCCCTTTTTTTTTTTTTTTTTTTTTTTTTTTAACCCCCTTTTTTTCCCCTCCACCTCTTAATTTTTTTTTTTT